ATTGTGGGTCTCCCCAAACAGCCACAACAGTTTTGGTGCCCTTGCTCTCATGCTGGTTTATTTAAACAATTTTAAAAAGGGGAGAAAGGGAAGAAAGCAAGAACTTTACAAATCAATGTATAAAAAAGGTATAAAAATACAGTTTATATATATATATATATATATTTCTTTAAAAGCCATTCAGTAGAATGAATCAGGCAGTCACAACAACAGATTCCAAGACATAGAAGAACCCAAAGTCAGCCACTGTGTTGCCTTGAAGAGTTAAAAAGAGAAGAAATGAGGTAAATCAAATCCAAGGTGTTCTCAGTGCATTTCCAGCAAAGTGGGTGGGTGGGTTGGTGGGTTGGTGGGTTAGTTTTCATTTAAAGGAAGGACACTGAAAGAAGTCCGAAAGAAAGTCTCCTACCTACTCCATGCAAAAGTGCCACTGTGTAGCAGAGTCTGGCCACCAGTGGAGGGTGGCAGGATAGGACCCAAGACAATGCTCACCATTTGGCACAAATGGACTGGGAACATCTCGTGCATGAGCTCTCTTGACAGGAATCTACTCCCCACGAGGCTCTGCCCCATTTTAATTAAGATACCGTCAAAACACACACACACATATCCTTCCCCCCAGGAATGAGAGGGGGGGTCTGGTCGCAGCCTAGGAGGTCTAACTGCACCCAGCCCTCCTCCCCCCACTTTTGTCTAGCAGTTGAAATCAAGCAAAGAGCAGGGCAGAGATTTAAACTTTCTCCTAGCACAATGGCCTTCCTTGAACTCAAAGGTGAGTGAAGGGAGCATGCGCGCGCGCACACACACACACCCATTAAGTTTCAGTGGGAAAGGAAGCCTTTGTATCTAACATAGAAAATAGGTTGAGTGCGCTCAAATCCAGGTCCAGGAACCAACTGGGGGTTGGGGGGGTAGAGATTTTCCCACGGCCTGCCAAGGGCAAGAGGTTCACTGAGGGGGAGTGGCGCATGGAAGTCAAGTGATCTGTGGCTAGTGTTTGCCACTTAAATCCTGGGCATGGCTACAGAGGTGCAAGACACACAAGGAAAAGGAACGGAGGACCTGTTTGGGTCTGGGGTTTAGAGGGACTCGGGAGGCTCCGTCAGAAATGGGCTTCTGCAGCAAAGGATGTTCCCGGTGAGAAGTGCCAGCGCTCACCTGGTGTGACAGACCTCCTCTGCCGATCCCAGCCTGAACAGAGGACTGCTCGGGGACCCTCGCTTTTCTCTGAGGACCTGCAGTCTCAGGAGCCAAAGTCCACCCACCCCCAACCCAAGCCATGCTGAGCCTTTCCTTCTCTGCCCCAGGGCCCATCCCGCTCGGCCCCTGCAGGAGGAGATGAGGCCGGAGACGCCACCCAGAAGCACTGCGAGTGGGGAGGCGGAGGATGGACCGTACGGGAACACCAGCGGCAGCGCCATTTGGGGAAACGCCCCTCTCAAAGGTCAACAACCAAAACCAAAGAGCCCGAAAAGTGCAGGTTAGGCTGAAAAGCGAGTTTGGCGCAGGTGTCGGAAGCTAGCGCGCGCCTTGCAGGTGAGAAATCCGTTTCAGCAGCTCGAGCTGGTGGGACTTCAGAAGCTTCTTCTCTGCTACCATCTGCTGCTCGTCCTGGAGCAGCGACCGCAGATACTGGGAGGCTTTGCTCAGGACCACCACTTTGGGGGTTTTGGAGCAGGTCGCCAGCCCAGGGACCTGGTCCCGGAGGGCCAGGAAGCGGGAGCGAAGGTCGTTCCGTCGCTTGCGCTCCAGGTAGTTGTGGTTCTTCCTCTTGGTGGCGTCCTCACTGTCCGAGCTAGGAGCGCTCCCCGGTTTCAGGAGAAAAGACTCTGAAGAGAACCTCTCCACCGCTCGCCCATCGTTGCTCCCATCCTCTTCCTGCCGCTGCCGCTGCTGGGGGACCTTTTCGAAAGCGCCCTCGCAGGAGAACCCCTCAGAAGGGGAGCGTGCAGCGTAGTTGTGTTGCTGCTGGTGGATGGAGATGTGGAAATGCTTCATGCACGGATCTAAGGGGTCGGCCCGGATGGTGATGGTCACGGGCTTCCTCACCCCCAGAGACGGCCTCTTCTCCACGGTGACCACATCAATTTCTTCCCCTTCTGGATGCAAATGAGAAAACACAAAATAAGCCGTTACGGTTTTGCAATCCTCACCGCCTGTTCCTGAGGCAAAGAGGGAGCTAGCGCACATGCTGAGACGGACGCAGCTCATATCTCTGGAAAACTGCAGGGCAGAGACGCTCTAAGAGACGCTCAAAGCAAAAGCCCTTTTGCTTTGTAGTGAAAGACAAGCATTTCACTCGAGGCAGAGGAGTGAGCAAGAAAAAGAAAAAAGAGGGACACATCTTCAAACAGAAACCGCTCTGAAACTCCAGAGGACACGAATTGCTCACAGGATCCTAACGACGCAGACCGGGGTCTTACTCCAAAAGGAAACTTATTCATACGGGCATGGTGGACGAAGGGTGGACATTTTTACCCCCTTAGACTCCAGCTCTTCTGTCCTGCCAAGCCGCTTCTGACTAGGTAGGCGAACTGTTTAAGGAATTGCCTGAAGAGTCCCACTCCATGGCTGAACAGGGATTTGAACCCAGTTATCCCAAGTCCTAGTCCAGCACGTTACCCACCAATCCACACCATCTCTCTCTACCTTGGTGATCCCTAGAAATCGGATAGTGACAACTCAAACCTTGTTTGGGGGGGAGAGCGCTGGGAGATAAAACCTTCACAGACTTATTCAGGCTGCAAAGATGTGGGTTCTGGTATTCAACTCCAGACGAATTCTCAACCTACCACCACATCTGGGGTACATTATGACCCTCCCATCTTCCCCTCCCCCCCGGCCTGGGCCGGCAATGACTTTGGATTTCCAGATAAACCCCCTTCGTTGAACACTGCAAAAAAAGAAAAAGAAAAGTCACCCTTATAGAGGTCTAAGCCAAACCCAGGGGGTGACAACTGCTAGGAGCTTGGTTCTAAAGTCAAGAGAAAACACTTTGAACCATCAGCATAGACATGTAAGCCTCCATCCAGATAGATTTGGGATTCTAATGCAAAATGGGCATCGGTCGGGCATGGCTGCACAAACACCGCGTGAAAAGCCACCCATTGATATTCACTTCACAGATGAGAAAATGCTGAAGATGATGAGAGAAGTCACTGAGCTCAGGGTGAGTCACGACAGAGATTTTTTAAAGAATTCACAGGGGTGTTTCCTGTTGCTTCTCTGCTGGGAGTGAAACGCCTTGGCCGGTTTGCCCTTCATTAAATAGTTCCCTGATCCATTTAATGTGCCCCCTCCCCCTGGAGCGTCAGGTACAGCTTCACCCATTAAGCTTCCTCCTTCTGAGAAAACTGCTAGATCTCCTTTTTGGAGTGAGCAGCTCCCCCTCAACAAGACCGTTAAGAACGGAAAGATGGAGAGTGGTCGCCTTCTGCCCTAGAGGCCTGATCTGGGGCGACCCACCCACGCAGTCTCACTTCGCATCTGTGCCGCAGATCAAACCCCAGCCTCAAGCCGGCGGCGCTGGAAACTTGGATTCCCTGGTGAGGAGAAGCCTGGGCGTTCTCCTCTCCAAGCTGTACTCTGCTCACCCCTGCACGGAGAGGAGAGAGTTCATCACTCCCTCTCTGGAAAGGGAAACCTTGAGGGTCAAGCCCTTGCCACCCAGTGGCAACTGACATGGGGACAAAAAGCTCAGCCCATTAAGAAATTCCAAGACTCTCCCCCACCCGCAAACAAAGGAAGATGCAGGGCAGGGGGCTAGCCAGGAGCAAAACGTTAATGCTGAGGCCCTCTTTCCCGCCTCCTGCCTGCCTCCAGTCTCTTCCCAGAATCTGCTGGAATTGTAAATGAAGTAAGGGGGAAAGCTGGCCTTCCCCCCCCCGCCGCCACCCCCTCTCCCCATCCGGTGCCCAGAAAAAGGCAATGGAAGGAGGAAGGACCCCTAAGAAGTTTTGCTTAGAAGGCTTGTCCAACCCTCCTCAAAAGGCACCCATCATGCAGCTTCCATCCCTCCAGCGCTCCAGAGGGGCCTTTAGGAAGAGGAAGGTTTTACAGGAAAAGGTTACGGCTGTCCAAGACAGGAAGGGCAGCCAGAAGGACAGAAGGGGAAGCTCTGAACTCACAACCTGCAGAAATCAAAGTTTCCCTTCAGCTGTGTGGAGGGGTGTGTGTGAAATCCACCCGTTGGAGGTTTTCTGACATGAAACATGAGTTGTGGCTTTTAAAGTTACAGCTGAGGAAGCTGTGGATTGGATTTCAGACCCCAGAACTTCACACCAGGTGGCACGTTGGGGGGGGGGACGGACGGACGGACGGACGGACACATTGCTTGGCACAATGGTGTCCAGGAGCTCCTGCAGCAACACTCCTGGTTCTTTCACTCCACACGGAGGCCCAGAAAGGGTGATCTTCAGTGGACAGACAGGGTGGGAACGCATAAACTCTACCAAGTCCACAGGATGAGGGGATCACCTCCTGCAGACCCTCCAGATGGCAAAAATCTCTGCCCATTCACTTCTGGGTTCCCAGCCCGCTGGCAACTGCCCAATGGCAAGGTTCAGAAAGCGGCTGCTACCTCTCTTCCTTCCCTCATTGGCTCACCACCTCGTCACTCACCGGGCAGCCCTCCTCCCTACGCCGGCTCACATCTGTTGCTTTTTTGTTCCAGGAACTAAAGATGCGGCTGGGAAGCCACCGTGGCTGAAGGGGCCTGGCTGTGGTGGAGTCCTGGTCACTCCCCCAGCGTGTAATTAAGATCAAAGCCCCCAGCCCAGCCCCTTCACTAAGCAAGATTAAGCCTTTTCGGAGACCTCTCCGATAACGTAATTAATTTTTATACCCAATTTGCTGCCTCTCCAGAGCCCTGTTTAGCCTTGTGGTGTCAAAAGCAGCCCAGATCAGCCACGGATTCAGCCCGCAGACCAGCAGCAAGCCAGGGCCATGGAAAGCATGCTTCTTCCGAGGCTGCGCCCCTTCTCCAAGGGGACAAGGCCCCCAACGCACGCACGCACGCACGCTCCAGTTTAATTAGGGTGTGTTGGACAAGCCCCCTTTTTGCCACTTCGTTGCTACGAATAGACTGAGAAGGCTTTTCATCATTATGGAAAGCAATACTCCAGAGCACACGGGGCAGCCCACTCGAGCGATATGGCAGAATAATTCAGTCCCGGAACAAAGTACCAGGTGGGATCCAGAGGGGGCACAACAAGCCAGCCAGCTCCTCTAACCAACGCTTCTGAAGCGTGTCTGGACACAGAGGCAGCCCTAAATCTGTGTCTAGAACGGGCGAGGTGAAGTTACACTCCCCCATCTGCAAGAGGGGAAGGCCAAGGACAAAAGGGGGCAGCGGTAGATTTGGGAAAGAAGGCAGGAGGAAAAAAGAAACTCTGGAACTCTTCTGGGAAGGGGGGAAGGGGCTTGGGGAGGGGGAGAAAAGAAGAAAAGCCTGGCCAAGCAGGCGTCAAGCCTCCAGTCCAGCAAGAAGGAAATGATGTTGCCTGCCCGTTCATGGTGGTCTCCAAAATCCTCATGCAAATCACTGGGCAAACACTTTCTGGTGGAACCCCACACCTGTTTGTACTGCTGGAGAGCTCAGTGGTCTCGGGCTGCAGAGCCACAGGTTGGGAGTTCAATTCCCCACTTGTGCCTCCTGCGAGAAGAGTCAGCCTGGGTGGCCTTGGGCCAGCTGAACAGGAGTCCCAGGGCAACCCCGGAAGAAGTGGGAAACACTTCTGAGGACCCTCTACCTGGAAAACCCTGGAAAGGGTCACCGTAAGTCAGAATGGTGCATGATTAAACTGGCTGGACAGCTCAGCCGTTTTAGGTCTCCAGCTTGGATCCAGAGGCTGGGAGTTCGATTCCCCGCTGGGCGTCCTTGACCTGGGCTGAACTGGATGATGCATAGGGTCCCTTCCAGTCCTGCAGCTCTAAGGTGCTAATAATG